ACCTCTTTATTAATGTAATTTAAGTAGCAACATAATATTTTGCTTTGTGACCCTAGCACAATTTTACTTACCCACCTCTCTGTTGGACAATTAAGTTACACACTTTTATTTTTGTCAGCTGTAAATAATGTAGCAATGGAGCTCTTTGTACATAAGGCTTTGTCGAATTTCTGAATATCTCCACTGGAAAAATTTCTTAGATCAGTGGTTCTCAACCTTCCTAATGCTGTGACCCTTTAATACAGTTCCTCATGTTGTGGTGACCCCCAACCATAAAATTATTCTCGTTGCTACTTTATAACTGTAATTTTGCTATTGTTATGAATCATTATGTAAATATCTGATATGCAGGATGTATTTTCATTGTTACAAATTGAACATAATTAAAGCATAGTGATTTATCACAAAAACAATATGTAATTATATATGTGTTTTCCAATGGTCTTAGGCGACCCCTGTGAAAGGGTCGTTCGACCCCCAAAGGGGTCGTGACCCACAGGTTGAGAACCACTGTCTTAGATGTACAATCACTGGGCCAGAGGTTGTGAATGTTTTTTCAGACTGCTCATCCACATGCCCAACCCCAAAGCATATTCAAGTATTAAGACAACCTTACTTAAGCCGTACGTAGTGCCACATGTCTGAATCGCTGTGGTGGTTTTGATCATTGTTCTGTGTGATGAACGGAGGTGAAGTCTCACAGAAGCAAGCAGAGTACTGATGGTGGTTGCATCGTGGAGGAAAATGTGACTGAAGACTCTGCATGGGTCATTCTCATTAATACACTATCGGAGAGCAGCTCTCAGGGAAGCGCAGGCAAGTGGGACGCCCTCACACTCTCAGGCCTCCCACAGCCCTGAGCAGAAGGTGGATTTCTCTGGATGCTGTTTTTTCAAGACTGTGAAAGGGCAAAATGATGATTTGTTCCAAGGCACAGAGCGATGGCTCGGTGATGTCCGCCACACCCCTAATGGAACACAGAGAAGAGGCTGGTAGATGCGCTTAGCAATAGCGATGGATCGAAGCTTGTGGATATCCATCGGGCAGCCTTGCCATTGCTAACCGGGAGGGGTGGAGGATGCCTGGTTGACAGGCACTTTTTCTAGTTTAGTCTTTCAGCAGCCACCTCTGCCTGGGAGATCTGCTCGTGTCATAACAACATTGCTATTGTTGGACTATTACTAACGAGACACATGGTGTCAGGGCTCTTACACCACGCTTTCCCAGCAGGCTTGGGCTTGGCGGGCCACCCCATTTGGCAGAAGGGAGATTCTTTGTTTGAGGTCAAGCTGCAAGTCACCGGGGTTTAGTGCTAACCCCACGTCCTGAGTCTCAGGTGTGTGTAGTTGCCCCAAAGCGGTCAGCGGTGCTTGTCATTTCCATCACTGTCCTCTTTTCCAGACCTCCCGATGAGTTACATTTATTGCCCTTTAGCTGAACCAACCAAGGACATTAATTTGAAATATCTGAAAGCTATTCGTTTGTCAAGAGTTACTGCCAGTCCCACAAGCCTCGGCGATGACATGTCTGCCCCAAGCTGACTGATTGGGTTGTTTACTCTTTGGACATTAAGATGCTGTAGGTCAAGGACGAGGTAATTCATGACCTTAAGTCAGTGGTTCTCAACCTTCCTAATGCCACGACCCTTTAATACAGTTCCTCATGTTGTGGTGACCCCCCACCATAAAATTATTTTCGTTGCTACTTCATCACTGTAATTTTGCTACTGTTATGAATCGTAATGTAAATATCTGATATGCAGGATGTATTTTCATTGTTACAAATTGAACATAATTAAAGCATAGTGATTAATCACAAAAACAATATGTAATTATATATGTGTTTTCCGATGGTCTTAGGCGACCCCTGTGAAAGGGTCGTACGACCCACAGGTTGAGAACCGCTGCCTTAAGTGCTTTTCTCCCAGAGATGACATACCAGCTACTTCACACACACACACACACACACACACACACACACACACTCACACACACACCTACCTTTCTTTTGAATGTAAATAACAAACATTATGTTGCTCTGCACAGTTTGCCAAGCATTTTCACGTGTGTATTCCCACTTGATCCTCACAAATACATACAGAAATTGATGTTTTTAAATATAGATGAGGATAATGAAGGTTAGCTGACGCACTGATGTATTTACTCGTTTTCATTTTACCAACCTCAATTATAAAATATTTTTGAATTCTAAAATCACATACATTTAACCAACTTGTGTTTTTTGTTTGTTTGTTGTGAAAGGTTAAGGAAGCAGAATAAAACCCCAGGCAGCGAGGTGAGGAAAGTAGACAGCATGGACCCGGGTGCTCGTTAGCATGCAGCTACCCAGGCTGATAGGCCCCCAGGGCCCAGCACTAAGTCATGAATTAGATCTGAGTTTCCTGGAAAACCAAATAAAAATGAAAGGCAGCCATTGACAGGATTCACATCATTCCATGGAGATACGCTCACCCTGGTTTAGAAGAAAGAACGCCTCCCTGAGGGCTGAGAGAGACGTCTTTCAGGAACTTTGAAAATGCCCAGGCCCAGGCTCTACCCCAGACCAATTAAAACAGCCTTTCTGGTGGCAGGGCCTGGGTATCCGACAGTTTCTTTAAAATCCCCCGATGTTCTTAATGTGCAGCCAGGATTGAAAAGTGCTGATGGTGAATTCCGAGTCACCGACGGGAGCAAGATCTACACCCAGTCCCAGGGTGAGCTCTGTGTCCCAAGGCCAAGGCCGGCTTGGATCAGCAGAGCAGGCCGGAAGCTGGCCTGGACATGCATCCTCCAACTCGGGTTCTGATGTTTTCCTGGGGAATGGAGGGAGGGGGAAAGGTTTTGGAAACTGAGCTGAGTATTATTCCCACACATGGAACTTTGAGTAACGTGGCCGGTAATTCGGTGGCTGCAGAGTGGAAAATGATTTCAGGAGCCCACCCTCAGTTACCGGGGAGCCCAGTGGTGCCCCCTGAAGGCCTGGAGAAATTACAAATACGTTTATTTTATGCAATTCCTCCTGCTACCTGTCTATGACTCCCAGTTAGGAGAGGCGCTGATGGGTGAACCTCTGGCTCCATCCCTTGGAGATTCCGCTTCAGGAAAGGGCAGTGGATGCCATTTATAAAAATCGACCCAGAGGGTTTAATCAATCATAGACAGGTCGGGACCCTGAGTTCCCCACCAACTCTGACATCACGGCGTCTCCGAGACCTGGAGAAGGGCCACGACAAGTCCTGCCAGTTTCTCTCATCTCAGGCAAATGAACAGTTTCTGTGGGTGGGAGGTATCTGGATTGTTTTTTATTTTTACTATTATTACTACTACTAATACTATGAACAGGGCTACTACTACTGCCAATAATAATAATAATAATATAATAACAACAACAACAATAATAAATGATAACACGGAAGACTACAATGAAACAGTCTCAAACACCATCCCAAGTGTATTTCTCCACACCTTACAGGGACTTGGGCAGGGAAAGCTTACCTATCCCCTTCAACTCCAAGTTCCTGCTTCCTCTGAGGGGTCGTCTGTGATCTTCACCCGGGACTGTGTGACTCAGGAGGACTTTTCCCAGTTAATACAACCTGCACTCACTGCATGTCAAGTAGACTTTATGAAAAGTGTGGGTAGATTCAGGGGACTTGTACCAGAAAGCACTTCACATGGAAACATGTCACTCCTCTAAGAAGTGTCTCTGTAAAGCTAAAAACAACAAAAACTAAATACAAAATAAAAAAGAAAAGAGATGCAAAGAAAACAAGAATTGTCTGCATTTCTGCCAGCTCAGCCTCCAGGCACCTGCCATGTTGCTGGATTCCGGCCTCCGGGGCTCTTTGGATGGCAAACTAAGGAAGTGAATGAACAATAAATAATATTTGTATTTAGATATAAAATATATATGTACATTGTATGTGTGTATACATATCTATACATATAGAAACCTAATACGCAAAGCGTCCCCCCTGGAGTTTGACCACCAGGGGGCGGCATGGAACAAAGGGAGGCCCCAGCCGGCAGCCGGCAGCTGCTAGGGACCCTATCTGTGTATGAATTTCATGCATGGGGCCTCTAGTATTTATATATAAAATAAAATATGTATGGGTATATGTTTGTATACACACACACACACACACACACACACACACACACACACACACAAAATGCCCTTTTGCAGAACAATTCAGCCCTCTCTAGTTTTGCTCTCTCTTTCCTGATCCACATACTGGGGGCTGCCTTCTCATTCCCATAGAGCCCCTCAACTGTTTGCATGAACGAAGATATTCCCTTCCTAATAGGAACTCCATTGCCAGCTTCGGGATCGGGGGAGACCCCAGCACCCTAGCATCTGTGTGGCCTCCCACACTCCCTGAGCGCTCTCACACACCTTGGCTACTTCAATCCTCACCAGAACACTTTCAAATCATTGTTATTTCCCTCCTTTTGCAGATGAAGACCTGAGCTTCCAAGAAACCAAGTTAACATATTTAAGGTCCAATAGGGAGTAAAGGGACAAAGCTGGGGCAAACCCCTGATTCCTTGATCCTAAGTTCAGAACGTCCCTAAGTTCAGGATTCTTTGCCCTGGTGCACATTAGGATCCCCTGGGGGCCTCAACAGTCCTGATGCTGGAGCTCCACCCTGGTCCCAGGAAGCCAGGACATCTGGGGCAGGCGTTCACACTGCCGCTTACTCAGCAAATTTCCCTGGAGAGCCTCAGTGCAGCCCTACTCAGTGGTGTGTTGGTCCCCGACATCCCAACCTGCCAACCAGGAGACTGAGAGCGACCTCACCCACAGGCGTCGAGGCTGCACTCCTGGCTTTTCTGGAGCACGGAATACACACGCTGCTTACAACCTCACCCAACCTTCTTCCAAACATTTCCAGACCCAGACTTTTGGATCACCTGAGAACATTTTAGAGGAGCATTTACCTGTCTGAGAAGTCTGTCCACAATCCTACTTTTCCTCATCCTCTTCTTCCTCCTTTGCAGGCACAAAGAAGCGCTCTCACGGCTCCCCAGCCCCGAGCACCAGCTCCACAAGTCGCCTTACCTTGCCAGGTGGGTAAATGGCATCGCGCCGTGATCTCAGTGACCACAGGCAGCAGACAGACCGCTTTCTCAGGGGTTGAGTTTAGCAGTGGCTAAGCTGGGAATCTGGCCCCATGTTAGCCAGTCTGCTCCACATTATTGGAGGGCCTCTGTCACCCACTTCTGTCACCCACTTCCTCCAGGAATGGCCATGATAGCTCCATACTTGGTTCACAGTCTCTCCTGCTTGCTGATGGAAAGAACAGAATGCCATTCTTCCTTAATTTCATCTGGATGTGTTTTGGAAGTATTTGGGAGACAGATGGTACAGGGGAATGAGTATGAGCCTTTGGTGAGAGAGACTTGGGTTCAAATCCCAGCTCTCCCATGTTTAAACTGCAAGCTCACTACACTTATGGGCTTCTTGCTTATAAGTTTAGTATAGTCCTGACTCACAGTGGGTGCTCACAGCTAATCTAGCATTGGGAAACATGGAAGTCATGCACAAACTGTGCTGAATCCCATCTAACATTTAGCAGGAAATTTTAAGCATTCGTGATGATTCTGTAGAATCACTATTTAATACGAGAGGCACCTATTGGCCATTCTGTCTCCATGTGTACACAGGCTTACATTCTCTACCACGATTTAATTTTGACAAGTAGAACTTACAAAACACATTTGTTTGGGGGAAGAGGTTATAAAAGGCAAGCATAAACATAGTAGAAAAACTAAAAAAAATAATAAAAATTATAAGAAGGGAATTGTTGCCAATGCTACCACTCAGAGGTAACCAAAACGACTGTTCCTTCTTTATTAGATTTTCCCCCCCTAGGGTGGAATTATACTCCACATGAAATTTGTCTCATCTCTTTTAAAATTTGCCATTACATCATGAGATCCCCCCTGTGTTATTAAATGTTTTAAGAGTATTTTAGTGCTTAACTAACATTTCATATGATTCATTTATACCATAGTTATATGCAGAGGCTTGACTGTGCAGGAAGTCGGTGCCCCTAACCCCAGTGTTGTTCAAAGGTCAACAGTATAATCATTGATAATTTGCCTTAATGTAGCTTGTATTTTTGTTATTATGAATAATCTCACATTCTTGTACATAAATCTTTCCATGGATTGAGGACAGATTCCTATGTGTAGAATTATTGGCTCAAAGAATAGGTACATATTTAGGTTCTTAATACATGATAGTCAAAGTGATTTCCCAAAAGGTAGCATTATTTTATACTCTTAGTGATGAGTTTGCCGTTTTACTGTGCTCTTGCTCATGCTAACATTAATATTTTACCAATTTGATGAAGATAAATTATATCCATATGTGGTTCGTATTCATGCACATTAAAAGGGAATTAATTGCCCTAACCAGTTTGGCTCAGTGGATAGAGCATCGGCCTGCAGACTCAAGGGTCCCGGGTTCGATTCCAGTCAAGGGCATGTACCTTGGTTTCGGGCACATCCCCAGTGGGGAGTGTGCAGGAGGCAGCTGATCGATGTTTCTCTCTCATCGTTGTTTCTAACTCCCTATTCTGTCGCCAACAATGGCTTCTTTTGGCTTCAGAGGTACTTTGTTCCAATAGTTGGTCTTTAAACATATTCTCTCCTCCCTGCTGTCAGGGGCCAGGGTGCAGGTGAATAGGATTGCTAGCTGGCAGGCCCCTGACAGCAAACTGGCCACCTGTCGATTCCGTGAGGAAAGGGGCTCCCTTCTCCCTCCTCCCTCCTGTCAGGGTCCAGGGTGCAGGAGAATGGGGTTCCTGGCTGGCAGGCCACTGACAGCAAGCTATCCAACAGCGGATTCTGTGAGGAATGGGGCCCCCTCCTTTCTACTGTCAGGGTCTGGTTTGAAGGTCGGCATGCCCCCTGTTGGGCCAGACCCAGAGTTCTACCACGCTGTGTCCTCCACCTCAGCAACCCAGGACTGACTGCTGCTGGGTGCTCCTGGTGCTCTGAGGGTGGGTTCTTCCCTCGGGCCACACGGGAAACAGCTGGGGAGGGCTCAGCCCTTGGCAAAACGACCCAGGATTCAGTGGGTCCACGCTCCGAGGGCAGGTTCCTGACTCAAACCCCGCCCTCACCGGAAACAGCTCCAGGAAACAGCTCGGGGGAGGGTGCAGCCGTTGCCAAGACAACCCCTGCAGGCCTGACTTCCTTCTGCTTGGTCGCAGCGGTTGTGGTCATGATGAACACCACCCATGGTTTTTATATAAGTAGATTATTTTCCAATGTTAATTTGTCTTTTACATTTCTTCTTTGGGGAATTACCATATTTAATCCATTCTGAGAGGGACAGTGCCTAGCATTTGGGTTGCTGAGATAGGAATGTTTTGAAATCAATAGTGTGTTATAATTTAATTAGCATGTTTTCTTGGTCATACATGAAATAATAGTTTATAATGAGTGGCATCTTAGCTTAGATGAAATATAATCTGTCTATCTGCTTTTTCAACCTCAACTTCTATAGCTTCCTTAGCCCATCCAACAACTGGACTCGGTGTCCACCAAGTAGGCCTTGAACTTTCTTGCCTCTGTCACCCGACCTGAAACACTGCTTACCCTTCCTCCCTGGCTAATTTCTTTTTGCAGTCCATCCAAATCATCTTGGTAGCATTAATACTTGTAATGATTTGCTAAGAAGCCCTTTTACCCAGTCATAGGTGGCTTTTTCCAGGGTGGGACGGTCTTATTCTCTTTTTGCCTCAGTGCCTGTCAAGGTAGCAAGCACATATTGGGTTCTCATTAGTGTTGATAAAGCTGGATGGATGGGTGTGTGAGTGGGCACTGTCTATATTCATTTATGACTGTACAAAAAGCAGCCATCCTCAGAAAAAGGCTCATTTTCGAATTTGAATTTGCATCAATTATACTAACTTGCTTTTTAGTATTGAGCCAACCTTGGGCTGTGGTCTCTGGAGGCCTCTTTCATCCTCTCTTGCTTGTGCCCTTAGGACCATAGACATTAGGAGGAGAACAGCTCTGAACCAAGCAACTCCAGTGTGTAGGGATGGTGTTTGCTCTTCTGTGGAAGGCCATGACATTCTAGGCTGAGGTGGGATCTCTGACATCATCCTGGACATCTACAAGGATGCAGAGCTGACCTGGCTCCTGTCTGCTGTGCTGGAGGCCTGTTATTGGCCTGCTGGGTCTCCAAGGCTTCTGAGCCAGAGTCTCAGCCACCGTGGCCTTGCCTTGGTTGGGCAGTCTAAACTGGCCCAAGTTGGGTGTCTTAGGCTCCGAGTTGTGACCACTCCAAAGCCTGTAGAGTTGGAGTGGGTAGTTCTCATGTTTTGTCTGTCAGACACCCTCCACCTCATGTGTTATGATGGCAGCTCACTACTTCTTTCTACCTCAGGAATACCACACGTTACCTCCCTCTGACTCAGGTGCCTGTACCTCAAGCTGTTTGTGCTGGCTGTCAAATAGTTAAAAATATCTTGTTTAAAATACTCAAAAGTTCAATGGAGGACTAATAATCCTTAAAAAACAATAAAGTAAAATTATGCAGAAACAAAACTACAAAGATATGTAAAACAAATAATTCTAAAATCTTAAATGAAAGATAAACATATTACCATTCAAATTTTAAAAAGAGAAAGGAAAACTCAAGGTGAAAAGAAAATTCATGTTGGAAGATAGTCCTTAGGACTCTATACCACACATGACATAGAGAGAGAATCATATCACAAATGAAAGAGCATGGACTATAAAACTTAGAAGACACAGGAATACATCTTCATGACCTTGGATTAGGCAATGATTTCTTAGATAGGACACTTAATGCCCAAGCAACCAAAACAAAAAAATAGATAATACAACTTTGTTAAAATTAAAAACAGTTGTGCAACAAAGGACACTATCAAGAAAGTAGAAAGAAAATCCACCGAATGGAAGAAAATATTTGCAAATCATCAATATATTTAAAAGCCAAGTGACCGGAATGCCAGAACGACCGGAATAACCGGAATGACCGGTTGCTATGACACGCACTGTGGCAGCCAACCGGCCCAATAGGGGCCCTTACCGGCCCCACCCCAACCTCCCGTGGCCCCTCCCCCCAGCCGGCTCAGCCCCTGATCAACCCACCCACCCTGATCGGGGGCAGGGCCAGCTGGCCAACTGCCGCAGTCCCCCTGCATCCCCACTGTGGGCCCAGCCTGATTGGCCCCCATGGGGTGGGCCGGCTGGACCCCACCAGTGCACGAATTCGTGCACTGGGCCTCTAGTATATCTGATAAAGATCTAGTGTCCAGAATGTGGAAAGAATTCTTACAACTCAACAATAAAAAGACAAGTAACCCAATTAAAAAGTGGGCAGAGGATTTGAATATACATTACTCCCAAGAAGATATACAAAAGGAATGTGGAAAGACGGTCAACATCACTGGTCATTAGAAAAATGCAAATCAAAACCACAATAAGATATCACTCCACGTGCACTAGAATGGCAAGAATAAAACAAGTTGTTGCCAATGACCTGGAGCAAGTGGTACCCCCATATGTTGTTGGTGATGAAAAATGCTGTAGCCACTTTGGAAAACAGTTTGGTAGTTTCTCAAAAAGTCACAAAAAGGGACCATATGACTCAGCATTCCACTTCTAGGTATATTCTCAAGAGGATTAAAAACATATGTTCACACAAAAGCTTGTCCATAAATATTCATAGCAGCATTACTTGTGATAGCTACAAAGTGGAGACAAACTAAATGTCCACCAACTGATGAGTATATAAACAAAATGTGATATATCCATACAATAGATTATTGTTCAGTCATACTAAAGGACTGATGTACTGATGTATTCTATAACATAGATAAACCTTAAAGACATTTTGCTAAGTGAAAGAAGCCAGACACAAAAGGCCACATATTATATGATTTCCTTTATGTGAAATATCCAGAACAGGCTAATCCATAAAGACAGAATGTAGATTAGGGGTTGCTAGAGGCTGGGGAGAGAGAAGAATAGGAAGTGAATTCTCATGGGTATGATTCTTTGAGTGGCGATAAAAATTTTATGGAATTAGATATCACTAATGGTTGTCCAACCTTGTGAATATACAAAAACCACTGAACTGTATACTTTAATGGGGGAATTTTATGGTATGTGAGTTTATATCTCAATAAAAGAGCATGGAAGATAGATAAATGGCTCAAAAGACTTAAATTCTTAGATGGAAAATGCACCTCAGTTGCCATCCCATAAATTGCCATCCCATAAAATAAAAGGCTAATATACAAATTGTCCCCTTGACTGGGAGTTTGACCAGGAGTTTGACCAGGGGGTGGGCTGGCCGGCCAACCTCCGGTGTCCCCTCCCCCGGGCCGGCCCGGCTGGACCCCACCCATGCACAAATTGATGCACCAAGCCTCTAATACCTAAATAAAACCAAATGCTTGCCTAAGGACAGTGTGAGAGTGCCTAAAATTACAACAAAAATGAGAAAAATCTTAAATACTATGAGAAACTGGTTATGTTCAGGGAAACTGCAAGCAATATTTGCCTTGATAACAGTAAATGTGGGAAGACAATGAAGGTAAATCTTCCATATGCTGAGGGACATACTTCCACAACGAGAAAAGTGAACTCCAAAGCAAGGTGTGAGATACAAGGATTAATGGTGCACACACAAGTAAATAAAACATGCTGGTAAATTTGAGTAACTAGTCACTATAAAAATAATGTCCAATTTTGTGTTAAAATAGGCAACAAGCTATTGATGGAAGGAGGGTTATTCCATGGGAGTTAAGGAGTACTAAGATCTATTTTGTCTTTGGGAAGAACTTTGTAATTTTGTAAATTTTTAACACAAAGAATCATCAGTAAAATAATTTAAATATAACCTACAGCATCTAAATCAGCAAGAGATCACCAACAAAGGGAATATAGAGAATGTATCAATAGAAGGCAGAAAAGAAGAAAAAGAAGCAAGGAATAAAGAATAATGACTAAAATTAGTAAAGTCAAATTCAAATAAAAACAAAATTAGATCAATAGAACCTGTTCTAAAAATATCAGTAGTAACAATAATTGCAAATGGCTTAAACTCTGATATTAAAACACAGAGATTATGTGATTAGATAAAAAAAATCCAAAGTCCAGCTCTATCCTGCTTTTAAGAGACACTTAGAAGGCACACTCACCCAGAAAGTTTGCTGATGTATGGCAAAAGATATGTGCAAAATATAAAGCTAGTTCTTGGGAAAACGTCTATTTTAACATCTGTTTAGCAGGCTATTATACAGTAGATTTAAGTGAAAAACCTACTACTGTCTTCCAAAACAGCTTTGTTTGTCTTTATCCATGTAGACATGATTTTACATATATTTCAGAGAAATGCAATGTTTTCCCTTTCTAACCTATTGAGCGATATGGGTGTTGAAAATTCTGATAGCAAGAAAGTTCTGCAAATAACGTGCCCCAACCCAGAAGCCACCAGAGACCACGTCATGAAAGAACAGCTCGTGTGGTTTCTGAAACTACCCGAGGGGGCCTCCTGCAGCTCCAGCACCAGAACACTAGCCTGGGGACCTCACCTTGAATCCTTGCACACATCTTTAGCAAAGTGACTCTGACAGGGTAAAGCAATAGCACGTGCAGCCAATTCTTTTCTAGAGCCAACTTCACCTCTGCCTTATGGGGTTTGTGAGCCTCATCGAGCTCCATGGGGGGGCCGTAAATGATGGCGAGCTGAGGATACGTTGGCTCTCGCTGGAGGAGTGACCCGGAGCTTCACCACCTCTTACGGTCATGACTGCCACTGAGGAAGAGTAGTCAGTGACTTCCTTCTGAGCAGATGCCCCAGGGTGCCTCGGTCACACCACTTTGCTGGAGGGATCCTTAGATGGAAAGGTACAGTACTGTAGTCATTCACCAATGCAGATAGCTCATTCATTGCTCCTCTGTGTGTGCAGCTGCTGGCGTGCACGGTAGTATTGGCAGTAGACGCGGCTCTGCTTCTAACCTCCACCGCCTGACGTAGACAGAGTTTGTGTGTGTAGATGCCAGCTGGCTTGCAATGACATTGTTGTGTGTCCTGTTCTAGGGGACTACGGATAACACGTCCAACAAGAGGATTCCTCCGAAGAGAACTGACCAGCTCTGAGGTCTGAAGACGTTTTAGGAAGCTTACGTGTTTTTTTTCCAAAACAAAATATTATGTACATTGTAAGTTATTGAGCGATGAACTTCAAAAATTTTAGCTTCTGATCTCCCTAATACAGATTTTTTATAATAAATACTTTGATATGTATTGCACATCTATCAAATATGAGGGACAATGCTAGGTTCTTAACATGTATTATCTGTTACCTCATTTAATCATGACAGCAACTCTTCAGGAAGGTACTATAATCTCCATTCCACAAATTGGGAAATGGAGGCATAATCAAATAAATAGCTTGCCAAAGTTAGCACTCCTTGTTCTGAGTCTCATTGACATTGACACAATGTCAAATCGCCCGCACTCTACCCTCCTATCTTTTGCATTTGTACTCTGCCTGGGAATTAGATCAGTTACCCATGTACCAAGTTCAAGCACACTTCTTTTACGTGAAGATTCCAATGAGCGCTGTATTTGCAATTGTCTTTTATCTTGAGTTCATTTTGAGGGATGGCAGTTGTCATTCTTATCATGGACTAGATCAAAACACATCTGTCATTTAGCCCTCAGAGCTCTAGAAGACTGAAGAAATTTATCTTTACGGACTCTTTCTGGAGTAGGTCGTTGTTGATGTGAAGGAGGGACATAACACTACTGATTTCGCCTTACACTTCCCACCTTCCTATGCATACGTGGAAAAAATGCACACGTTGATGAGAAAAATCAAGCAAAAGACTTCGCTTGTATAATCTCCAAATATCCCCGCCTCTTGGAAACAGCAGGTCTCATGTCCTTGGTGCTTGCCAGAGTGAACACAATGAAAACAAAGAACTTAGCTGAGGAGGATCATCTCCTGGAGGGAGGACTTTCTTATTCTTTAATTATTAGTTAAAATAATAATTTTATTAAATGAACTCATTTGTCATTAACTAATAAGGGTGCAGAACATTTAATAGGTAGTGGTTATTTTTTTTTAATTTTGTTTCTTTTTTAAAAAATATATTTTATTGATTTTTTACAGAGAGGAAGGGAGAGGGATAGAGAGTCAGAAACATCGATGAGAGAGAAACATCGATCAGCTGCCTCCTGCACACCCCCCACTGGGGATGTGCCTGCAACCAAGGCACATGCCCTTGGCCAGAATCGAACCTGGGACCCCTCAGTCTGCAGGCTGACGCTCTATCCACTGAGCCAAACCGGTTCAGGCAGGTAGTGGTTATTTTAAATACGGGAGGAAGGCTCTGAAGTCAGACTGCTTGGATGAGAAATCAGAATCTAGATTCTTGCGCACTAGCTGTGTGAACCTGGGCAAGTGACTGAAGCTCTTTATGCCTCAGTTTCCTCACCCCAAAAGGGAGCGATACTAGTGCTTGCCTATTAGGGTTGTAGTGAGGACGATAGGCCAGCTCAAGTTAAATGTCTCGCATGTGCTCAGTACACAGTGTGTGTCAGATATTGTATTATTATTATTATTTTACCATGGCAGGTCCTGAATGGAACATCACAGGTCTCATATTGTCCCATCCTCAGTGGAACTGATGTTAATAACATTCCAATCCCTTTTAATTCAAAACTCATGGGTGATTTTTCTAAGGGCTTTTAATCAGATTTCAGACCCATCCCTCGAGTAAACACTGATTTGAGAGATGAAATGAATGGCAGGGATTTTGTTCTTTGGTTAAAACAACACTTGAAAGGCATTAAATAATTATTCTATCTTGGTGTGTGTGTGTGTGTGTGTGTGTGTGTGTGTGTGTGTGTGCGCGCGCGGGCAAATGCAGATAGAAACTGTCTATAGATGGAAATGGATTTTGCAAAGGTCGTATCATGGCTTTATCTTTGAAATGGAAGAAAACATGTGTCCCACACTTCTTTTTATAAAATGGTTCCAATATTAGAAATTGTCCAGAAGCTGAGAGCGAGCCATGCCGCTGCCTTTGGAGCACAGTCACAGTGCGGGGTGCCAGCGGCCACACTGCGGTTACAGGAGATGGAAAGAGCGGGATGCTGATGCAGCTTGTGGTTCCACTCAGGGATCCGGCTGGACTAGGTTACACGAGGACCCGTTATTGTTCTCTGGGGTCTGCGATCACTCAGTGCAAAACAACAGGGTCCGCTGCATGAGTGAGATGGATGTGATATGAGAGAGAATTAGCCCAGTCTTTCTGAAAGTGTTCTGCCGAAAGTGTTCTTGCTCCTGATAAAGGGGGTTCCTTCGCCTGGTTAAATTGAGGAATCTGCATGCTATTGGCTATTCTTAGGGATTCATAATATGTGTATCCATCATTCAGGTCTTGAAGTCCTACATGAACAGACTCATTTAACCTTCACCCAGTTAAATTGGACTTAAGACCCTCTCCCTCCCACAGCAACATCTATTCCATTCACAACTTTATTGAAGGTACTTTGAGAAACAGCAGCTTAAACAAGGAGTTTTATAAAACTTCAGTCATATTTTAACACCCGAATTCAACTAACAGCCATCAATTTTATATATGAACTAGAGGCCTGGTGCACAGATTTGTGCACCAGTGGGGTCCCTCAGACTGGCCTGTGGGGATTGGGCTGAAACCGGCTCTCCGATATCCCCCAAGGGGTCCTGGATTGCAAGAGAATTCAGGTCAGGCTGAGGGACCCCACCAGTGCATAATTGGGGCAGGGGAGGAACCATGGGAGGGCTCCAGGGTGTGTCCAGCCCATCTCGCCCAGTCCCAATTGGCCGGGCCCCAGAAGCAAGCTAACCTACCAGTTGGAGCATCTGCCCCCTGGTGGTCAGTGCACGTCATAGCGACTGGTTGGACAGTCAGACACTTAGCATATTAGGCTTTTATTATATAGTATAAATCCATATCTATTTTCTAAAGAAGGATACTTCTATGTAATAGTCCCTCTCCCCCCCCCCCCCAACCCCGCCCCATACACAAATAGCTACCAAAAGCAAAATGGTCTCAGAGAGAGACACAGAGAAAAACTAGAAGGTAGGCTGGTGGGTGGCAGAGGAAGTGGAGAAGGTCATAGACGCCTTTGGGAGGAGTTGTGATGTTTATGACAAAGATGAGATTTGAACACAGGAGGATTAAAACTCCTAAAAGAACACCACTTTTTGTGAAAAATAAACATCGTGTGTAATTGCAAAATAAAGATGATGAAGAGTCAGTTTTTGTCTTGAACTTGTCTTTTCCTAAGCACGTTTGAAAGTAGTATTGATGATGACTTTGCCAAGTGCAGGTTCTATGCAGACACGTGACTTTGTCAAACCTTCATTAGCTAATGAGATCCTTTCCTCAAGTACATTGCTCCAAGGGATGAGAGCAGACTTTGTGAATGTGCCCTGAAGAGGAAAGGGCCCACCTTGCTGATGAATAGGCATGGGGTGGGGGGGCGGGTGGAGGAGGGGTTCTGTTCCCAGTTTTCTTCTTCTCAAGCGGGGAGGGGATTGCAACAGGTCTGCTTTGGATCAGCTGTAGGAAGTTCCCAATCACTGAAGGGTCAGACCCCCTTCCAGGAATATCTCAGGAATGAAGGAGTCCTCAGGAGGCCACCCCAGCACCCCAGAAAGAGAAGTCTCCGTTAAACTCTAGATGGCGCCCTCATCTCTGGCTCTGCTCTTTTGCCCTGTGATCAAATCAGGGGTCCCCTGTAGAGGGGAAAGGCCATCAGTGCTTACAAAACAGCACTCTCTGAATTTCCCTTTTCTCCACATTTTGAGTGAGGCTGAAGGCAGACATAGAAGTATTTCTACCATGTCCGTGGGGGGCCAATCTCTGTCAGAGGGTTCAACTCTATTTGCCGTGACTCCGGTGGCAAGGAGAGTTTTTGTTCTGACGATCAGAATTCCAGCAAACGGTAAATGTTTCTTCATGCTGAGAAGTGGAAATTCAATAATACTTTGCCTGGGTTCGTGCTGAGCAGCAAAAATGGAATGAATGTGGAGAGGGACCGTGATTTCAGCACTAAATCAGCCAGCCCGATGTTGGCACCACCAGCTTTGATGCTAAAGCCCTTTCCTGTCTCTACCCCATTCTCCAGGGTAAGGAGACTATTTTTATGTTTGTTCCTAGACTGTTTTGTGCTGTCATCCCTTGTTTACCCTAAGAAACTCTGAGATCTTAAACATCTCGGTTGTTCTGCGTGTACATTATGTTGCCACTACAGCACCATTTGCTGAAAGTCTTCCCGTGTCAGCCTAGCTCTAAAGGCAAAGTTGGTGTGAGTATTCTGGAGCTTGTAGTAATGGAATCACTAATCATGCTTGAGCACTTTTTCTTCTGTAAGCAAGCCACAGGTTTTAGAGAGGGTTCCTAGAATGGAAGCCCCTCGAGGGCAGGGATTTCTGTCTGTTTTGTTCATGGTGACATCAGCAGGACACGGTAGGTGCTCTAAGAGGCCTCTGAATAAATATTACTCTATAGGCTGTCAAATGTATATGCAGCTAGGAGCTCTCTGTGATGTTTCCGACTAAGGCCTAGAGTAAACATAGTTTTACTGTCTTTCTATTATGTATGATTTTGTAGAAAGGGTCTAATCTACGATTCAGTAGAAGACATTTTAGTAGTATGTTTCTTTGTATAAAGTTGTGTCATTCAAGCCTGATCATAATAGAAAAATTAGAAAGTGTCAATAACCAACAAGAAATAAAATAACCATGTTTATACTACTCATAGATAATCACTGCTATGGTTTAAATGTATGTTCTTGCAGAGTTTCCTGTGCATATATTTATATGTTTTTATAGTAATAAGGTTAGATCATCTATACTGTTTTTTTATTTGCATGCACCTCCATTTTTATTAATAGACATCTATATCATTTTTCCATAGTGCCACAGTAGGATATTTAATTCCCTGTGATTATACATTGAAGTTGCTTCTGATCTCCTTGATCATAAATGCCATGCATTTTCCTGTTATTGGACGAGGTTGGCACAGCTGGTTTCTCTGTTGTTTAATGGAGCCATCCCCAGTCCTACTCCTGCAAGCGACCTGTCCATCACACTCCTGCTGGCCCTTCCTTGGGAGCAGAGTAGCCGCAGAGAGAATTCGCGTTCCAGGCAATGACTCAGCATCTCTGCTCCTCCACACCTTTCACCTCATCATAGTCACTTAACCAGGTTTTACCTTGATTCACCTTCACATTGTCTCCAGCAGGAGCAGGAAGGGAAAGAGGTGGGGGAGAGGGTGGGGATATAGCATAGGGGAGCAGAGGGAGGAGTATCAATTACCTCCTTCTGCGTACAGATCTGCAGGTTAGACGGTGTGCTTTTCTTATTATCGACAGTCCACACTTTATTCAGATTTCCTTGGTTGTTAC